ATCCCCATGGAACGAGATTCAAAATGTGCTCATTGATGCTGATGTTAAGTTGGGAATGAATGCGTGAAATGAAATTGGCAAAATGGAAAAGGATAATTGAATTTTACTTTTGTCTGTATCTTCTTTGCTCAAAATCGGACAAAGTTTTTGGTATTGACGAAGGAACGTAAGGAGATTTTTGAAAGGGAAAACAACAAGTTTCGATGACTGCTCTAAGATATTTGGCTTGTGTAACATTTGTGTTAGCCTCATCCGAGGAGGGGGGTTATTCAATCAGTCGGTTAAGTTTTAAAGCGAGCTTTCATTAGCGTTTTGCTGTGATATGTAGGTACAAACTGAAAGAGATGCACTACTTACGACTCACCGATCTTATCCCTCAACTGCAGCAGCTGCGAAGTTGAATGTCGGCTAAACTAATGACGTTGAAAAGTTCAACGTTACAAAAGCTTTATGAAGAATAATCGAGTGTTATCATAGCAACTATTCTCTCTGGAGAAGATAACAGGTGGCGCTGCAAATGTCACCAATTGAGATTCTAGGTTCAGTAAAGAAGACTGGGGTTGAGGAGGTGTATTATCCACATTTATGTTTTTTTACTTCACCGCCCTTATTATCATTTCAATGGTTCTTACTATGCATTCAGCTTGGACAAGAGCTATTTACTTCTTCTCAAATGGGATTAACATTGAGTAATATCTCAACAATCAAATATTTACTGATCGAGCGGGTTCCATTTTTTGATTCCCTTTGCGCCCTTCCATACCAGTGCCCAATCCCCGATAGAACCGTCTCCCCCACATCCCAATGTGCTGATAAAAAAAAGTTTACTCTGTTTTGCTTATTTCAGCTTCTCCTCTTCTTGCTTAATTCACATTTTCATTTGGAAAATTTTTTTAGAGAAATGCTCCATTTATGTTATCCCTATTTTGAAGGTTACGCGCGCCGTCGTATAAAACTGATGCTTATCCATATATTGATCCAAATAAGATATTATCAGTAGGCCAGAGATGCTTCCTTGTACGAGATATTAAGATATAAGATATTAAATATAAGGAAAGTTAGGCTGATACACTTGACGCTAAAGCAATTTGAAGATTTCTCGATGAATTTTGTTGAGGAACAGAATGTAAATAAAGCAAAGAGACTTCATACAGCGCACATGACTTTTAAGGATTCACAGTGCCTTCAATTAGAATACAACAGTGCTGCTGCAATAGGAGCATAGGTTAGATACATAGAGTCATGGCTCTTGTCACCTTTACTAATGAGTCAAGA